AGCCCAGAATGACTCCCGGGTCATACATGAATGCATAAGTCTTGCAGATTGGATTCGTTTTCCTTAGCATTGTTACAGCTGAACTCAACAGCCAGTAGTTTCTCTCCAGAGCGAAAGATAATGGGCTGAGAGGGGAAGGATGAAGTAAGTTGCTGAAGCTGTAGGGTGCATCTCCATTGGCAAGTGACTTCCAAGACCTTCTGCCTTGGGGCATGTAGCTTCTCCTTTATCTGAGCTAACAGTAGTCACACCGTGGTTCTTTGATGGCTTGTTTCCTGATCCTGGAGACATAAGGTTGAGCTGTGTAATAAGGATGTTTTCCAGTCCTTTAGGGTGATACCAAGGCAGGAGGACAGACAGGATGCTTCCTAAACTGGGCTTTCTAACAGTAATACTTACTGATTAAGTAACTTTTCACACTGAATACTAACTCTGGCCTGGTAATTACTGAACAAAAAGAACAGGATCTGGAAAATGTTATTTGTGAGGGGAAAGAAAACACCAAAGATCTGTTGTTGGTTGACCTAAAAAGAAGTTTGAAGGGAGCTAATGGTCTTGGAGTAAAATGCTGTTGCAGAGGGTAGATGACTAGAAGCATATGTGGTTTGTTCAGATTACAGGAAGAAAGATTCACATTATGCAGGAGGAAACATGTAACAGTGAAAATTGTGAATGACTGCAATAAATAACATTGGAGGTTGTAGAATCTGTTATGGGAGGTCTTTAAAGTAGGTGAGACCTGTCAGGAGTAGTGTGCCGGTCCTTCATTGGAGCTGCTGCCAAAAAGCACTGTGGACACTGGGAGACACTCCATAGTTCTTGTAAAGCAATTTAACTTGCAGAGCAGAGTGCAACAGTCTTAACCTGTTAGTAGAAACATACTTGTTACCCTCTTCAGGAAGGCTCGTGAGGTGGATAATGCAGATGTTAAGGAAAATCTAGACTTAGGAGGAATTGTGCCTCACGTTATGTTCCTGGAAGTCTGAGTGAGTATCTTCCTATAGTCATCCTGGATGTAGAGAGGCAGGAAGAAAGTGATTGAAGAGAAATCTGTGCTAGAATGAAATGTCTGGGTTAGAGTCTGTGAAGTCGGGGGCTCTAATGATGTGACTGTGCACTGGCACTGAGACACTGTTCTGTGATGTATAATTTCTGACAGTATTACTTCAGAAGTGAAACAACACCTTTTTGCATGGCATATGTGAGCATATGCTGATTTGATGTAAGACCGTGCTATTAGAGCTTCACATACTGAGGTGATGACTTTCTGCTTGTTTTGCAGATTTGCTTACAATCAAATACATGACCATGGGGGATATGAAGACCCCAGATTTTGATGACCTTCTTGCAGCCTTTGACATACCAGACATGGTTGATCCAAAAGCAGCTATTGAATCTGGACATGATGACCACGAAAGCCACATCAAACAGAATGCTCACACGGATGAAGATTCTCATGCCCCATCATCATCTGATGTTGGTGTGAGTGTCATTGTGAAGAACGTGCGCACTATTGATTCCTCCGAAGGAGTGGACAAGGATGGGCACCATTCCACAGGCAATGGCTTGCACAATGGCTTTCTAAGCTCATCAGCTCTTGATAGCTACAGTAAAGATGAAGGGAAGTCACTTAAAGATGATGGGTCAGCTTCTGAGACTACACTCAAGGATTCAGCTTTTAACCAGTTTAGCCCCATATCAAGTGCTGAAGAATTCGATGATGATGAAAAGATTGAGGTGGATGACCCCCCGGATAAAGAGGAGATGCGGGCAAGCTTCAGAGCAAATGTCCTGGCAGGATCTATATCTCAGCAGGAATATGACAAACTAAAGGCACTTGGAGGGGAGAACTTGATTAAAGCTGGAATCTCAGTTTCAGGTAGCCTAGATAAAAGTAAAGTTGCTAAACGAGAGGCAGAGACAAACTCCATGAACTTAAGTGTCTATGAGCCTTTTAAAGCTCGCAAACCAGAGGACAAACTGCTAAAAGACAGTTCTGAGAAGCTGCTTGACAACAGGGTACTCGATGGAAAACTGGGTGCTGAAAAAGGCGAAACAAATCTTGCCAGCATTTCACAGTCCAAAGCAAAGTCATCAGCAAAGCTCTCTTCGTGCATTGCTGCGATTGCAGCACTGAGCGCTAAAAAGGCAGCTACAGATCCCAGTAAAGATTTACAGCCTAATTCAGGAGAATCTTCTCCTCTACCGAAAGACATGAGTGAAAGTCCCCGGGCTGTGGAAAAATCACCTGAATCTCAGAGTCTCATTGATGGTGCTAAAAAGCTGTCCATCAAACCTCCTGACAGTCCCAGAAGTGTGTCCAGTGAGAACAGCAGCAAAGGCTCTCCCTCTTCTCCTGCAGGGTCAACACCAGCAATTCCTAAAGTTCGCATTAAAACCATCAAGACTTCTTCCGGGGAGATCAAGAGGACTGTTACCAGAGTGTTGCCAGAGGTTGATTTGGACTCTGGTAAGAAGGCAGAGCAGACTGCTTCCATGGTAACTTCCATGACGTCCCTGCTGTCCTCGCCAACCTCTGCTGCTGTGCTTTCCTCTCCTCCTAGAGCTCCTCTCCAGTCCACAGTGGTTACCAACGCAGTTGCACCTGCAGAGCTCGCACCGAAACAGGTCACCATCAAACCTGTGGCTACTGCCTTCCTCCCTGTTTCAGCAGTTAAAACAGCAGGTTCTCAAGTGATTAATTTGAAGCTTGCTAACAACACCACAGTGAAAGCCACTGTAATATCTGCTGCCTCGGTGCAGAGTGCCAGCAGCGCCATTATAAAAGCTGCCAACGCCATACAACAGCAGACTGTTGTGGTGCCAGCATCGAGCCTTGCCAGTGCTAAACTTGTGCCAAAGACTGTCCATCTTGCCAACCTTAACCTTCTGCCTCAAGGTGCTCAAGCCACCTCCGAACTCCGCCAAGTGCTAACGAAACCTCAGCAGCAGATAAAGCAGGCAATAATTTCTGCAGCAGCCTCACAGCCTTCGAAGAAAGTGTCTCGAGTCCAGGTGGTGTCATCGCTGCAAAGCTCTGTCGTGGAGGCGTTCAACAAGGTGCTGAGTAGCGTCAACCCTGTCCCGGTTTACATCCCAAACCTGAGCCCCCCTGCCAGTGCCGGCATAACGTTACCGACGCGGGGTTACAAGTGTCTGGAGTGCGGGGACTCCTTTGCTCTCGAGAAGAGCCTGACCCAGCACTATGACCGGCGGAGCGTGCGCATCGAGGTGACCTGTAACCATTGCACAAAGAACTTGGTTTTCTACAACAAGTGCAGCCTCCTGTCCCATGCCCGTGGCCACAAGGAGAAAGGAGTTGTAATGCAGTGTTCCCACCTCATCTTAAAACCAGTCCCAGCAGATCAGATGATAGCATCTCCTTCAAGCAATACAGCTGCAGCCGTGCTTCAAAGCCCCGGGGGGGTCAGCACGCACACGGTCACCAAGGTCCAGCCTGGCTTAACGGGGACGGTGATCTCGGCCCCAGCAAGCACGCCTGTCATCCCAGCTATGCCCCTGGACGAAGACCCCTCGAAACTCTGTAGGCATAGTCTAAAGTGTTTGGAGTGCAATGAAGTTTTCCAAGATGAGACATCTCTTGCAACTCATTTCCAGCAGGCTGCAGACACAAGTGGACAAGTAGAGTATCATACGTTTACATTCCAATGTTTCACCTCTAAGCCTAGGAGACTTCGGATATGGGTTTACTTTGATTTAGCTGTTATTTATCTGAACCTCCGTGATTAAAATGATAATGAAAACCACCCAACACCCTTGCAAGCACTTACATAGTGAATGTCAACACTGTTTAAGTAAGAGCTTTCTTAGATTTTTTCTTAGGCTCTGAAGTCTGATACTTAGCCTGTGTAGTTTTGCTGACACTCAGCATTAGCTTTCTTGCAGCTGAACGTTATCATACTGGTCCTTACTAAGGATTTTTGGTGATTTTTTTCCTGTGCTTTGGAATGTGAGTATCCTGTGGAATCCACTTAATTGGCACCCTCACTAACAGCCCATCTCTTCAATCTGAGTGATAGATTAAAGTGATTCAGTCTTGATTTGTCTTCAGTTTGTACTGGTTTCATCCACCCCATGGCTGAGCCAGACACTCCTCTTGCCTCCAGGGACAGTGAGTAAATGGCACACAGACTCCTTTGACAGGAGATGCATGCTGTCCTCTCAGGTCCTTCTCCACCAGCAGTGACATGGGGTTCACTAACATGCATCTCTTGCTGTGTGACCGTTTGTTTCTTTGTGTTGGCTTTCCTCTTACAGTTACAAATGAGCCAAACTTCCAAACCACCTTAAAATTCTTTACTAATGTCTGTGGCCTAATCTGAAAGGGACACCTCATTCAATAAATGTTAATACAATCAGTGTGCGATGTATTTTGTAATGCTACAGGAGTTGAGCTTGTTTGTTCCATGATACACTTGGATTTCTGTTGGGGTGTGCCAATTAAACGGGATTCTGGTGTCTTTCAAAGCGTTCACTTGAGCTTGGTGTTGCAGCTTCTTGCTGTGTGGAGGCTGAAGACCTGCAGACATGCTCAGACTGATAGAGACAGGAATGCCCCAGGAGTATTCCTGGGAATTGCACAGCAATTTTAAGTGCTGCAGTTAGGGAAAAATGCCCTTGTTATAGGAGCATATGGAGGTTCCTGCCAGGATCTGATCATTAAACTTCAGAGCTGTTCTCTGGCCATGAGGCAGTTGCACTGCACCCACCACTACAGCTAGTAGAGAGATTTAAGTGTGGAAGTAATCTTGGCTGTGTGGATTATGTGGCTCTGCCACAGCTCCTTTACTACCTGGGCTGAAATCACCTGGATTCACAGTGAAATGTCTTAGGAGTGAACTTCTGCTTGTAGGATACTACAGATGTGTCTGCCTACAGTGGGTTTAGTTAAGCTTTTTGTTGGAAAGAAGTTCGCAGGATGTGTTCTGTCCTTAGGTCTGGCTGCAGTTGTGAACAGCATCTAATAGCTGACTGTGAGTATATTCTGCAGTAGCTCGTGAGTTACTCAATACTCAGTAACAGGTTTTTAGCTCACTGCTTTGCTGGTACTTACTGGTCTTAGATTTATCTTCTGTGATAGGTCAGTTAGGTGTGATACACTCCAGTAGTCTTCATGAAAACTCTGTTGTTCTTGGTCCTGTAAAATCAAGCAATTAAGAGGGCATTAAGGTAAAGCAAGTGGATGAGAGTGAGAGAAATACACTGAGCATAGGTTGGGAGTGTGAGGTAAGGATAAAAAGGAAGTACTGGGGGAGAGCAAAGTGATGGACTCACTTTCTGTGAGGCTTTTTTTGTAGGAGCAGGTAAACTAAACAGGTTTGTAGAAACCCTTTTTGCCCTTCCCTGCTGCCTCTGCCTGGTGCTTTTGCCCTGTTGCTATTGCCCTGTTAGGTGCTGTTTGTCCTGGCGACTTGCTACAACAAAACAACTGAGATTGTCCAAATACAAGTGCAGTTAGGGGGAAAGGTGAGTGTAGGTACGCAGGGACTGCTGGTCAGGGAGGAACTGATGTAGGAGCAAGGCCTGAACACTGGCTTCCTAGGCTGTGATTGCCAGGTTTAAATCACAAGAACAAAAAAGCCGTTGCTGCAAAGCACTGGGGTAAAAAGCTATTTTCCTCTTGTTCCATTTTCAAAGAACACCTAATAAATGTAGTTTTAAATGTTCCTTATTGAAATATCCTCTTTAGAACTGTTTTTCATAGTCCTTTTCGTGCATCAACCAAGGTTTCAGTTCTGTGGGTTTTTTATGTTGTGTTTCATTACCTACCTTAGCGTTGTAGCTCTGGTGGAATGCCCAGCATAGGAACTGTTGAACTGCTCCCATTTCTCTTTTCCTCCCTTGGAAAACACTTCCTTGGCACTGGCTTTCTGTTAATGGGAAAGAAGACAGGGAAGGTAGATGAGATTGACATTTTGACTTAGGAAGGAAGAATAAAGACAAACATTTGGGTTTTGCAAACCAGTACTTGGGGGAAAGTTGTTACTTGCAGCTTCCTATGCCTTTAGTGCCCCCTCATTGCTCTTGACATGGAAATTGCAGCCTGGTTTATGCTTTCAATGAGCCTAAGCAGTTAAGTAGCTGTTACTTCTTGTTCTTAAACTCCTGCTGTGAGGGTAGAGTGTTTCTTTTAAAATAGAGCCCCAGCAATTCAAAGATGTTCCCTATAAAGTTGTCCCCTTTCTGTCATATTTTACTGCAATGTATATTCCCGTTAAAGGGAATGGGAGCACCTAGTGACAGGTTTCCTGGCTAAATGAAACCTTCATCTACTTACTGGGGTTAAAAAAGGAGCAAATCTGGGCTCATTAATGTTAATGTTGGTTTCATTTACAGCTCTTAGGTGTGTAGCTCCCGTGGAACCTGCACAGCTTGTTTCCCTTCATGCTCATGGTTCTTGTGCACCTTTCTTTTCCACCTCCACCGTGTTTTCTTCTAATCCTTTTATTCCTTGAGACCCTGGCTTCAAATGCGGGCAGGTGGTGATTTCACAAACTGATTTGGTTTGGTGTGGGTTGCAATGAGAGCTGGAAGTTAAGGCCAGCTTGAGCCCAACACACAAGGGCAAGCAAACCTGCTGCCTTTCCCAGTAGATGCTTCTTGTTCTACTCTAGCCAGCTGGAACGAAACATTTTACTGTATCAAAGTACCAACCCAGTGGCCTTAACACATAGCAGTTGTTGTCAGTCTGAGTCTGGTGTTCCAGGTGAATCATGCAGGCTGTTTGTTCCAAAATCAGTCTGCTATGCTGACGAGAAGTTCTGGTTTGCTGTTTTCTTACCTGACCTAGCAATACTGCAGGTTCTCCAGCATTATATTGCTGCTTATTAATACATAAATGTCAGAAGGTAGTGGCACTGAAGCCAAGTAAATGTGACCAGCATGTTTTAAGCAGAGTTATGGTTAGATTTTGCCCTGGAGACAGAGTTTACATCCCAAACCCCTTGGGAGGGCACCAGTCGGTGCCCACAGCTGAGTGGTCAGTTGGGGACATATATTTGGCATTTCAAAGTGAATATAAATGTGTGTCTGAACAGTTTCAGCCTTCCTGTGCCCCAGAGGCTCTAGTGAGGGTGACAGTTCAAAAGCCCTGCAGAGAGTCAGTCAGGCAAAGCCTTCCCCAGGGCTAGTAAATGTATCTGTGCTGTCTGCTGGCCGGCAGCAGTGCTAATGTTGAACCTGACTGTGAGTAATGGTAGCTTGTCTTTACTTAACTTCTTCAGGACATTGGGATGGAGACTGTGTTAGCAAAGTAAACGTTCCAAGTGAACCCTGTGGAAACACACTTCTTGCCCCTGTGTGCCTGGCCACAACATACTCGATGTTAACATTTCTACTTCAAATTACTCCTAAAAAAAGACTCCGAGTATTTGCATGCAGCCTCAAACAAAAAGCATTCAGATGATGTGATTTTGGAAAAGAATAAGAATGGAGTGGACAGATGAACAAAACCAAGCAGTAATACTGTAAAACTGCTAAAGCAATTGAGATCTAGACTTCAATACTAAAGAGTGTTCTGATGGGGGGGGATCCTTTTGTGCAATAAAGACCATGAAGGCTTTTTCCTTCCATCTTTGGAGTTAGTGTCTCCTCTGGATTAAATGGGAATGGGTTAGTGCAGAGTTGCTAATACTGGTAAGTCAGACTCCTGTGAAAGCTATTAGTAACACCACTGTTTCTTCTGCAGTGATAGATTCTGCTATTACACGATCTGGATCGTCGTGTTTTTTAAGAGGGATTTAAATGAGAGTCACCTGAATTGGAAGAAGGGGGGGCTGTTGTTCAGTAAGAAACTCTTCTGCCATAGGAAAGGGGTTTTTTCTTGGTTGTTGCTTTCAGGGTTTCTTCCTGCCTGGGTTAGTAAATCGTCTCTGATGCAGCTCTGGAGATCTTGTTCTGTTCTCTATTCCTGCATGACACAATCTCATGTTAAATAACACCTGTATCCTGAAGGAGTCTTGGGTTTGTTTAAATGTTCTTAAGTCACTAGTGTGAGTCAGAAGTCCCAGGTCATAAATTATATTATTAGAGCCTTACAAAGTAAAATGTTCTAAAGTTGAGTTAAAGTCTTATTCTGCAAAGACCTTTTTGTACTTGGAGAGCAGGAGTGTTTCTGTTGGTCAGTGAAGCAGCTTCCGTAAGCAAAGCACAGCTCCAGATTTTAGGGATGTGTTCCTGTAAATGAAACATTTTCTGGAATACTTTTGCAGGTTAGGGCCTGGAGAGAACTTTGTGTTTCATCCCCAGAGCACCCAGAGAGTGTCAGTGTTTGTGACTGGGCAGATGGTCAACGTGTAGCAGAAGGTTTTCCTCATGCCCAGTGCAGATGTTGTATTCCAGCCTGTGAAATACATTCTGGAACCAGCTGTGCACTTTCTGCCTGGTAATAGTCCATTTTATTGGCATTACAGCTGTTACCATAAGAATTCCTCAGGAGCAGGGATCGGAGAAGGTGAAGCCAGTGTGTATGGTGGTTTGGTTTTTCCTTTGTGGTGCACTGAATTAAAGCCATGAGGTTTGATGCTGGAGTTGTACTTAGGCCCTTTGCACTCTTAAGTATTTAAACCAACATGCACCTCCCGTGGTCAGTGGTACCTGGAGGAGCTTTGTTGTGCCAGAATGGCCCAGGATGCCAATGTGTCAGGTTGCCAGTGTCTGCCAGCTCTGTCCCTCCAAGTGTGTCAGGAGGGCCTGCATTTAGCACTTGCCTTTGGCTCACGTCCCAGGCATAATATTTAACCTTTTATTTGCTGTATTACAGTGTGTGACACAAGACGTTCTGTGTAGCTGAACCAAACCTTTTGTTTCATCTATTTTGGTTTATCGTTTAGAAGACATGCAATATCTGCCAGATGCTGCTTCCTAACCAGTGCAGTTTTGCATCACACCAGAGAATTCATCAGCATAAATCTCCATACACGTGTCCTGAATGTGGAGCAATCTGCAGATCTGTCCACTTCCAGACTCATGTCACTAAGAACTGCCTGCATTATACCCGAAGAGTTGGTTTTCGGTCAGTATAATGATTCCTTTTGTTGTCAATTTATGTGTAATTTCTGCTTCTAAAAGTGATTTTCCATTTTCATAAGCACTGTTTGTAGAATACAGCTTCATGGGTTTGAGGTTGTCACGGCAACAATGCTATTAGCCCTACAGAGCTTGGAATAAATGCCACATTAGGATCCTGCTTGGTTTGGGGCATCCACTTTTGTATGTTATTAAATCAGAATATTAGTTAATCTCGTCCATCATCACATGTCAGATTCAGGGCTTCCCAGCAGAGAATTCAGATGTATTCTCCCAATTTCAGGTCCTTAAACAGGCCTTTTGAATTTTCTGGAAGACATTGAATTTTAGATTGTTCTCTCTGGTAGAACAGTAGTTTTCAGTCTTGAGAGCCAGAAGTTACTGTTGAGATGCTGATGGGTGTACTGCATCTCTCTGTTGCTCTCTTTCCTATGGGAAGTCAAGATTCCTCAGCTTCACATTGCTTGAAAATGACTTTTCTCATTCAAGCAGCCTGGCCTTTTAGTTCTTCTTTGTTACTCTCCACTTTCCCTGTTCCTCTTATGTTTTCCACCGAGAGAGGGGCTCCGAGGCATTTCATGGGAATGTTAAGTTTGGGAAGGCTTGAAAACCTGTTTTATCTTACGAGTTCTCCTCACGCTGCATGGCAGCACTCTGGAAACCTTCCCACCTCATCCTGTCTGAGGGAGAAGGGTGATTTACAGTCAGCTTCTTCCCTGGAAGGTGCCACAAGTTCCTTTGCTGGGGTGGCTCCCACGGAGGGGAGGGAGCACACTGACTGCCCAGGACCAGCATTGACAGGCTGCTTTCAGGTTGAATCCGTGGCCTGACCCAGCTCCCAGCTCTTTGTATTTCTTTGGGTTCTCCTTTTCTCCCAAGCTGTAGTCTGTCTTGTCCTCATTGCTTACATCTGCCTCCTCCACACATTCCCTGCTAGTCAGTGTCTCTTCAGTTCATCCATAGAATCACCTTCGGGACTCCTGGCCTGTGCCAGCAACGCCAGAAGACTCAGGACTCCTTCACTGTGAATGGAAAGTGTTGTCACTAGACCTGTCAAGATGTGCCATACACATCTCATGTCACACCAAGTCAGAATTTCTCTGTGTGGTGAGACTAACCCCAGAACAGCAAGGCAAAGCAAAGCAGTAGCTGGGAAGGTTAGTGTCTTCACCCCGGGGCTCCTCAGCATCTCCTTATCCCCATGGAACAGCATAACCTGTTTTGCCTTTCCAAAGGACCTCTGAAGGAGTCCAGTCTGATTTCAGCCATTCAGTTGTCTGAACTAAATCAGCCAAAACTTTCAACCTTAAGTTTAGTTGCATCCTTCCAAGGGGGAAACAAGGAAGCTGTTACAGCAGGCTTGCTTACACCAGGAAAGGAAGGCTTGGTCCTTCAGAACTGTTGGAATACACAGTGGTGGATGCTGAGGGTCATTTATTGTGCCACATCATGAGAGAATAAAGCCCAAACAGGATGGGATGGGGAGGTGGGAAAGGCAACCTAGCTCTCTTGAGGTGACAGCATAGGGATAGGTCTGTTGAGGATCTTGTACCACTAAAATGTTCATCTCTCTATAAGTAGGGAAGATCTTAAGAAAGAAAAGGGCCATTTACTTGAGAAATGCATTGGTGAGCAGAGGCTAGATAGATAGGAACTTGGTTGATAGCATTAAGCGTGTAAATGAAGTGCTCAGACAAGAAAGGATAACGTTCATAACATTCAAAGGTGACATAAAAGAAAATGGGTTTCTTGAATGCAATGTACATCTATTTCCTGCTTTCTTGCCATCCTCAGGGCATTAAAACAGCGCCAACAAACAGTGGGAGGTTTATATGACAACAAT